ATAGTGGTATTCCTGTAAATAATGATTTTACTAACAAAATATGTAAAAGTAAAATAGGCATCAAAACCTCATTAATAATAAAAATAAAATAAAAACTAATATAATAATTAAACAATAAATTAGTGCCAAACCAATGTGATACTCATTTTTTTTTTGTTTAATTCGATCGGTTGAATTTTGTTACAATGATATCTTGAACACACAAGTTTCACCAATAAAAGAAACTGCTGGCCATATAAAAAATACTCTTTAACCAATAATTTCATTACCATGAATCATTTCATATTTTTGTACTGAATAAAAAGGATGCTAAAAATAAACCACCAAAAGTCGATAAAAACGATCAAATGCAGACTTATCCAAGATAACTTATCACTGTTACAAATCCAAGAAGAGAGTTTGATGCTATGAACATAAACATCAAAAGTTTATTCAACGAGAAACATTATTTTGCTAAGATTCAACAGACGATACCAACACAGTAGACAGAAGACGACTTATTAGCCCAGACTTAGAGCGGTGTCAAGCCAACCACACCTGCGTTAAAACAAACGTAGCTCGTGAGGGTACGGAAACATAGAATCCGAATATGCCTATAAATGTTATACCAAATTGTTTTTTCTTTCAGATGAAACACCAATTTTTAGTATTATCAAACAAATCCTTTTTTTTTTTAATTGTAAACACAAAGGCTGAAAATTGTGTGAAACAATCACAGCATATGTAATAGGGATCGAAAGTTTCACCATACCGCATGCCAATCTCCCGCCTGCATTTCCTGTGGACAGACTAAGCTCATGCCCGCCTATATATATCAAATCAAAGACAAGTAATCAGATCAAAACTTGGCTTAAGAGACTTTTATAAGCCTGGAATGAGCCATCCTTTTCACTAACAAGTCAGAGAGTTATGATATAAGAAAATTACAGGCACAAGAATTATGCAACCGGTGGCAATTGATGTATTGAGAATCAGAAGTAAAGTATAATGTTTTACCTTTTCCAAGGTCATCCTTAAGCTCGTGAACCACAAAGGCTCTTCCAATTACAGAATTAGGACCAGTCAGAGGAATCTGCACAGTTGATGTCACAGTAAGCAGAAAGATGTATATAATAAGAGATCATATGAGAAACTATTAGAAGTATGGGCCTAACTCACTCCCAAAAGCTAGCTCAAAGGAGGAGTATTGCCACACACTTATATATTGCCCAAGAATTGGAATTCTAGTCGATGTGGGACATTTAACAGAAACAAAACAATTAAAGGACAAACATGCGATGACCCCTACCTGATTGTCCACAATAGTTGTTTCTGCCACGCCTGTTGTTACAAAGACAGTGCTTAGTTAGATGATCAAAGATGGCAGACAAAATATTGGGGAATGTGAATAGAAGACATAGTACCATCGGCATTGGCAATTATGTTTCCCAGGTCACCCGCATGACGGATCTCGTCTTGAGGAGCTCCGTGTGTCATGTTGTTAGGGTTGAAATGTGGTCCTATGAGAATTTAAACGAAAAGATACCGTCCATTTAGAAGAAAGAAAAACAGGCAAATCATGAATATTGGTATGAAATGAAATCTGAACCTGTTGAGATGCATCCATTTGTTGTGTCACCAAACTCATGCTGTAAAGCAAACATAAGACAGAAGGAAGACATTAAAAGTGTAAGAAGAACCAAAGAAGAAGTGAATAACAAAATGATGAAGGATCATTCATCGACATTACGAGGTGAAATCCATGAGGCCCTGGAGCGAGCCCGGTGATGCAAACATTGAMAGTAGTGGGTCCTGTTTGACATTCACAACCCATTCAGGAGAGAGCCCGGTGATTGATATAT